ATAAATTCAAAAAATTTTTATTGGCGCAAATGCAAAAAAAATATGCACAAAGAAAAAATTTATACGCGCGTTATATATACGGGAGCACTGATATATGCGCAAATTTAAATCTATGTGCGCTGCGCCTACTGCACCGATTCTCATTTAATGGAAAGCTTTCATTTGTATTAGTAACGGTAAATTTGATGAACACCGGTTAAATTTTTGATAATCGTTCTTAGCCGATCATAATTGAAAAACCTGCCACGACAATTTTGATGCGGCATCCATGTTTATAAAAAAAAATTCTGACAGTTGCAATATTCTGGAAAAACTATATTAACTGTATTTATACTGTACTAAAAAAAAAAGATCAAAAATGTATTAGCTGATCTTTGAAATTTGCTCTTTTATTCGGACACTAAAATCTATTGAAAGTGCAAATCTGCAAAAAATACATCTAAGTTAGGTAACAATGACAAATTATTTTAATATAAGCGGAAAAAAAATTATGCTTAATTAAAATAAATTATGGCACAATTCATAAAGATTCAACAACTTTTACAACAGCTCGAGATAAGCTTTGATGCGAATAACTTTCATGCTTTATTCTCTCATATTGTTCGCAACCACGAAAGCTTTGATAAAGATGATTGGAAAAGTTTAATTCAATTTGACAAAAATTGGGAAGCACTTGGTTTCAAGAAAGCTAAGGAAATTTATTCTTCTATGAATAAGAATAAAGGGCGCCAGAGTACCAAGTTATATATTAAAGATTTTTCTAATGAATCCGAAAAGAAGCAAGCAAAACCACGTCCTCAATACAAACATGATGAGATGGGTTTGTTCAATGAATCCGAAAAGAAGCAAGCAAAACCATGTCCTCAATACAAACATGATGAGATGAGTTTGTCTAATGAATCCGAAAAGAAGCAAGCAAAAACACGTCCTCAATACAAACATGATGAGATGGGTTTGTTTAATGAATCCGAAAAGAAGCAAGCAAAACCACGTCCTCAATACAAGCATGATGAGATGGGTTTGACTATTGAATCCGAAAAGAAGCAAGCAAAACCACGTCCTCAATACAAGCATAATGAGATGAGTCATTCTAATTCAATAAGTCAATGGAAATGTCATAATTGTGGTTTCAATCCAAACCGTGTATGGCGTGTCAGGTGCTATAAGTGTAATGCATTCAGGTCAGACCTAAATCTTGAAAACTTTGATCCTTATAAAATGCCGTCTATGGCAATAAGTGAAAATGATAAATATCTTTTGCGAACCGAAATCATCCGGGCAAAGGGAGATAAAGCAGAAGAAGAAGTCAAAAGGCTAGGTTATAAATATCTCGATTGGCAAAATTACTGGAAAAAATTTCCCATTGAAGTGGTAAATTGCAAAAAACTTGACCATAAAACACAGGAAAGTTTGTACAGTGAAACTAGGCATAAAAGTCTTGCATGGTGTGATACTTGTAAATATTACTATCATTTTGATTGGAGTGTAAGTATTATTTGCATAGATAAATTTTATGATAATTTTCGAATGTATGTATGACTAACAGGACTTTAAATTCATGTTACCTTTAGGGTTATGATTAGCAGGACTTAAATTTATCTTTTTTCATGTTGCATTAAGGTTAGGATAGGCTGTAGGAATAGCTTTATGAATTATGTGTACGTACTGCAAAGCGTATTTATAACATGCTTGGGTTTATATTCATAAATATTGGATTATGTTTGTGTTCTGACTTAATACTTAGTTTTGATATTCTATAAATATATGCTATTTTATAAACGTATGAAATATAATTTTTTTTTTTGTCTGCATTCACTAATGTACATATACAAGCTTTCTTTTCGTTTATAATGATGAATCAAGATGAATCAAATTTGATTTACGAAGGATATCATAAACTAGCCAGCATGCTTTTTCCTTCCTTTAGATTTCTTTAGCTGCATTAGGGTATCTGCGCGACATAGTCGCGATAAAACAGAACTGCAGTATGCTTTGAATAAATTTAAAATATTATATCGACGAATTTGCGGAATTGAGCCTAAACAGATTTTAACAATGCGATTATAAAGCAGACCCAAATTTTCAGCTACATATTATGCATCCTGCAATTATTCCACCACTAGATGATATATTATATAACATTGTCACTTGGGGGATTCCATTAATTGTTTCCTTTACTTATGGAGACACGTTGGATATAAAAATATGGAGGTGAGTCAATAGAAATCAAGCAAATTTTTTATAATAAATTTTTTTTATAACTTTAAACAAGAATATCTAAACAAAAACTTTATTAAATTTAATAAAAATGTTTTTAAATTATTTTTACAACTTGTAAAATTAATTTTAAAAAAATTTTATTGAATTTAATCAAGTTTTTGTTAAGTTATTCTTGTTTAAAATTTTAAAAAAAACTTATTAAAAAATATTTACTTGGTTTCTATTGACTCAACCCCATATTTTCAATCATAAACCTGTGTTTGCATGTAGTTTGCGCTGTTTTTGCTTAATTAAGCATAAAAAAATATCAGAAAATCCCGGATATAGTGTCTTTATTTTTTCGTTTTTGTCATTATTTCCAGTAATAATTATTCAATATTTTGGATTATTATTAGTAGAGACAGTTTTGAACAATTAATTTAGTATTTATTATATTATTTGGAACATTGTTGGTTGTTGCAGCTCTTAATTGGTAAGATAAAATTTTTATCACTAAATTCCTCATTAAATCCTATTTAACTTATATTCGTATCAAATTATCAGCTGTAAGTGTAGTTTTATTCAGATCTATTATTAATAGAATTTGAAATTAAAATATTACTTCTGTTCTTTCACTTACGTGTTAAACTACAGCTTGTAAGTATTTATAAAAAGATGTAAAATTTTATTATCAATAGAATTCAAAATTAAAATATCACTTCCCTTACGTGTTAAACTACCAGTTGGCAAGGATTTATAAAACGACGTACACATTTTATTATCAGTGGATTCAAAATTAAAATATTATTTCTCGTGCTAAATAGGGATGGAGAAGTTTCTAAAAAAACTAGTTTAAAACTAGTTTAAAAATAGGTTATTTTATAAACCAGGTTTAGGTTTTTAAAACCATTTAAACTAGTTTTAATGCAGTTTGTATATAAATTATAAATAGTGCATTTTTATATACTCTTTATATATTGTATGTACCCTTGCATAAACTTATATAAACATGCATATTTATATATATTTATGCATGATTATGTATGATTATGTACTATAATATAAGGAGTATATAAAAAATGCAATATTTATTTGATGGGTTTTTCTAGGCATCTCTAGTCAGAGATATATAACTTATATATCTCTGGCCCAGTAACCAATTAAAATAAAGAAAGTCACGTGACCCGTTTTTCCAGATCACCGGTTGATCGGAAATGGTGAAACCCGACATCTGACTTTACTTTACGGACTTAATTATCAGCCAATCAAATTCAAAGCAAAAAAAATTTACATACTGTATTGGCACATAATGACATGTTATTTTGGGATGCTTATATGCAATCATTCAAATCATTTTGACAAATCTAGGTTACAAGAGAATGCCCTACTTTTATTGCTTAAAAAGTTTAAAAAACAAATATTTCAAATATTATTGCATAATAGCAGTATATATAAAAGTTTATTTATTAATAATTTATGATTTGTATAATATGCTACAATATGAAAAAGCACCAAAGTAACACCTAATTGAAAAAAAGTAGTAGTTTAATCATATCAACAATGAAATATACTACTAACGAAACAAAACAATAGCACTAGCTTAACACGAAAAAGTACTGAACTATCTACCACCACTACAAAGGTACGTTAAAAGACCAGACAAAAGAAATGCCTAATTGAAAAAAAAAGTGGTAGTTTAATCATATCAACAATGAAATATACTACAACGAAACAAAACCATAGCAGTAGCTCAATACAAAAGAGTACTAAATTACTAACACCACTAAAATAGTGATACCAAGCAACATCGAAAGACCAGACAAAAGAAACACCAAAATAATGCCTAATTGAAAAAAAAAGGTAGTTTAATCACATCAACAATGAAATATACTACCAATGAAACAAAACAATAGCACTAGCTCAATGCGGAAGACTAAACTATATACTACCACTAAAATAACAACACCAAGCAACATCAAAAGACCAGACAAAAGAAATGCCAAAATAATGCCTAATTGAAAAAAAGTGGTAGTTTAATCACATCAATGATAAAATATACTACCAACAAAACAAAACCACAACACTAGCTAAATGCGAAAGAGTATACTTATCACCACTAAAATAGTAACACAAAGCAATATCGAAAGACTAGATGAAAGAAACACTAAAATAATGTCTAATTAGAAAAAAAGTAGTAGTTTAATACCATCAATGATGAAATATACTACCAACAAAACAAAACCATAGCACTAGCTTAATGCAAAAGAGTACTAAACTACTTACTATTATTAAAATAGTGATACAAAGCACAACATCAAAAGACTAGATGAAAGAAATGCCAAATAATGCCTAATTGAAAAAAAAAGTGGTAGTTTAATCACATCAATGATAAAATATACTACCAATGAAACAAAACTATAGTACTAGCTTAATATAGAAGAGTACTAACCTACTTACCACTACTAAAATAGTAACACTAAGCAACATCGAAAGCCTAGATGAAAAAAACACCAAAATAATGCCAATTGAAAAAAAAGTGGTAGTTTAATCACATCAACAATGAAATATATCACCAATAAAACAAAACCATGGCACCAGCTCAATACAAAAGAGTACTAAACTACTTACCACTACTAAAATAGTAACACCAAGTTACATCAAAAGACCAAATGAAAGAAATGCTAAAATAATGCCTAATTGAAAAAAAAGTGGTAGTTAAATCACATTAATAATAAAATATACTACTAATGAAACAAAACCATAGTACTAGCTCAACATGGAAGAGTACTAAACTACTTACTACTATTAAAATAGTGATACCAAGCAACGTTGAAAGACCAGATAAAAGAAATGCCAAAATAACACCTAATTGAAAAAAAGTGGTAGTTTAATCACATCAATGATGAAATATACTACCAACAAAACAAAACCATAGCACTAGCTCAATGCGGAAGAGTACTAAACTACTTACTACTACTAAGATGGCAACACAAAGCTATGTTGAAAGACCAGGCAAAAGAAATGCCAAAATAATGCCTAATTGAAAAAAAAGTAGTAGTTTAATCACATCAACAATGAAATATATCACCAATGAAACAAAGCCATGGCACCAGCTCAATGCAGAAGAGTACTAAACTACTTACCACTACTAAAATGGTGACACCAAGTTATATCGAAAGACCAGATAAAAGAAATGCTGAAATAATGCCTAATTGAAAAAAAAGTAGTAGTTAAATCACATTAACAATAAAATATACTACTAACAAAACAAAACTATAGTACCAGCTCAACATAGAAGAGCACTAAACTACTTACCACCACTAAAATAGCGACACCAAGCAACATTAAAAAACTAGACAATTGAAATGCCAAAATAACACCTAATTAAAAAAAAAGTGGTAGTTTAATCACATCAATGATGAAATATACTACCAATGAAACAAAACCACAGCACCAGTTCAATTTAGAAGAGTACTAACCTACCTACCACTACAAGGCAGCACCAAGCATGAAAGAAAATGCCTAATTGAAAAAAAAGTAGTAGTTTAATTACATTAATGATAAAATATACTAACAATAAAACAAACTACAGTAAAGAATCTACACCAGAAACAATGGAAATAAATAAAAAAAAAACTCTTCCCGTAGATCACTTAACCAAATTAGGAGCCGAGTATCAGTTTACTTAGTAAAATCTT